GTCAATAACTTTTGATTTGCTTAACTTCAAAGGCCGAATAACCCTTCATTTTTTAAGTCAAACCAAGCTCTATACAATGACATTATACTTGAATATTTTAATTATAAAAAATTCGTCTGGAATGGCTAACCAAGGACACATGACATAACATGCAACATGCCTTTTGCATTTGTACTTATATCTAGATGTTTATTTCCATAATACTAACAAAATGTAGTACTATAATAGTTTGACTTCCTGGTCGATTAATAAACAAAATCATCAAGTACACATATTTTGTAAATACCTAGACATGAATAATCTGTGCATATGGTAGCACAGCAAGAACATACAACAACTTAAAAATAACTTGTAATACTGGTTTTACACCAAGATTATAAATAAAAATAATCATTCTTCAATATTTCTATATCAAATTTTTTTTATTAACTAAGCAATTAAAAAATATATAATTATAAAGGATTTGAGTTTTTAAAAAACATCAATGAAACATGTTTAAACATGTGTACATACTACTAGAAAAAAGGCGCTATTTTAAAAATGCAGCTTTATAGATTTCTTAAAATATCTGTCTGATGAGCAGAGCAACCTTCTCATTACATCTTTATTTATTTCTAGAAAATTTTCTTGTAAAATGTTCTCGAAAATTTTTAACATCTTTATTTCTACTTGGGCTTCTTCAGGTAAGAGGCCAATTGGAACTGGCTTGTCTCTTACAACCTGGTGTGAATGTACAATCATCAACTCCAACAGGCATAGGATAACATTTAAAATGTGCTACATATGTCTTGAATGTTTCTTTGCAATATAATTCTAGTTTATCTGGATCAATTGGATGTTTACAGGATAACACACAAAGGATAATGAAAAATCTTTTAACAAGACCCTTATCAATTTCAAGTTTTTCATCAAAAGTTTCATGGCTTCTAAATGCCCATCTTGCTGTGTTTCCATCATTGGATGTACCAGAGCCACCACTTCTTCAATATTTTTGATTTTTACCTGAATTTCTTTTTTTCTACTTGCAACAATATCTTTCTTTTCAGGAGTGTTTGCATGAAAAAATCCACAATCATTGTACCCTGGTCTTCTTCTCTGTCCAATATGTAACAGACATTCAAAACAACGAATCCAGAGATAGAGAGTGTAGATTCCCAGGTCCAAAGACATCTGATTAGGTTGTTTATTATAAGCAATTACAAAGTCATTCATTTTTTTAGGATTTAATCCACATATATTGCAAACTTGATAAGAAACAGTTAATGGAGAAAGAAAAGTCGAAACTTTTACGTCAATCATAGTACATTCTAACTTGTGCTTGACTTAAAATAAGCCTATGGTTGTTGTTCTGAGTTCAGTTGACATAAAAAAATCATATTCTGCTTTAACAATTTGCTGATTTTCTTTAACGTATTGCATTCGAACAGGGCAACAATATTGGGTTAAGAATGTTTTAGAGTTAGTCCAAAGAATAACATTAGTTTCCTGAACTTTAAGTTGCACAGGTACTGTACATGAAAGAAACAAAGATTCTTCAACTTGTAGTGTGATCCATTATTCCTTGAAGATTTACAGAAGCACTGTAGTTTGTGGTAACAATTCCGCATTCTGGAATGCAATCACTTTTAGATTTCACAATAAAGTTGTAGGTCGGGTATAACATGCAACCTTTATCTAAGGCCCCTTGACGGATAGTTTTATAGTCAGCCCTACTCATTCTACAGTTTAACATTAAAGCTAAAGCTTTTTCAGCTGAGTAGACTTTAGAGCATGATACATTGCAGGATCCATCAACTTTACTTTCCATCATATGTTTTAAAACTTTGGCGTCTTTATTTCGTCCTTCTTTATTTAGATTAAGAATAAGGGCATGAAATAGGCTTTCAGTAGTAACTCCTAACTTTTCAGTAATCTCTGAAGATCTTCTTTTCTTCTTTTCTTTTTATAAATTTTTTGGTTAATTTCATCTGATTGTAGTTCGGATAATATTGAGACATCAATATACAAATTTCAGTTTTCGCTTTTTTGCTAATTACACTTTCATATTTATTATCATATTTTCCTTTAATTAAGTAATCAAAAATCTCTTTGTTCCTAATATTTAAATTTGATTTCACCTCTATAGTGGTGAAAGGTATTTAGTGCACTAAGTGATTCTTGTAAATATTTGTGAATACTTCTTGTTTTGTTAATTCATCTTTTCTGCTGTTATTCTAGAATATTCCGTTATTCATATTCGTGGTTGAAACTTGTTAAAAAACATCAGGAGTGTGAGGAGGAGCCATATTTTAGTTTAAACTGACCCAATAGACACAAAAGCAAACAAAAGCAGCCAAAACTTTTTCAGAAATTTTCTATAAACATCATTTTTTCAAACGCAAAAAATTTCAAGCTGGGCAAACCTGGGTGAAAATTTTCCTGATTGTTTAAAGTTTTATTTTCAAACAATTTAAAAGAAAAAAGTGTTAAACATGAGGTAAATTGTGTCTTTTTTATAAAATTTTATATTGATCCTCCATATTTTATAAGAATATTTAAAAAAATTGGTATTCTGTGACATTGGTAGGAGTGTGAATGTATAAAAGTTTGCAGACAGATTTTTGCCTGAAAAAATGTAATTTTGTGTCAATTTTTGAACTTCAAACCCTTTTTAGACAACTTTTTTGGTTCTGGTTTTCAAATACTATATATAATTCAATTTTTAAATTGTTTTTACTATAAAACAAACTATGTTTTTGTCTTTATGACATGGTACTGGACCATGGAGCAGTGGTGATGGTTTTTTATGCTAAATAATTTTGGGTACTTTTGTCAAGTTTATGAGAACTTGATTTAAGCATAGATAGAGTACAGCCTCCTAAGCAGAATATGATAGAGTATGGCACCCCAAGTAATGATCTATGCAGTTGCCTCAGTCCTGCTAATTAATATATAATAATAGTTAATTAATAGCTAACTAATTTTAAGTTGTATATATATATATATATATATATATATATATATATATATATATATATATATATATATATATATATATATATAAATATATATATATATATATATATATATATATATATATATATATATATATATATATATATATATATATATATATATATATATATATATATATGTATATATATATATCTGCTTGACTCATGGCAGAAGCCCATGAGTAGATTCAAGAGAATGTAGCATTCATTATCATAGGCTGTAAACAATATTATAGGTTTTAATCTGCACCAAAGAGATAAATAAAGAGTGTGAGGCTGGTCAACAGAATTATTCTGCTTACCCTATAAGTCTTTGCTTAGGAGGTTTTTTTTTGCAAGTCAATAGCTGGATGAAAATTAATCTCCCCAGGATGATTACTTTTATCAAGACACTAAACAGATTTACATTTATGTCATTCTTATAGATGAAAAAGGCATGGGAGGCTGGTCAATTAATTATTCTGCTAATGTTGTCAAAAGTCTTTTCCTAGGGGGCCTATGAGCCAGGTAACTTATGACATAACTATAATCAAGTCCTTGGAAAATATGCAGAAACTTTTGCAGACAAAACTCTGATTGAAATTGATTGAAAAACTGCAAGTAAAAATTAAAAATGTTGATGTAAAGTAAAAATATTGATGCAAGTAAAAATTAAAAAAAAAACGCAACAAACATGTGTACTGATTCAACAAATTTGGATAGTGAACTGGGGTATACCAAATAAAATGCCATAAGCGCAGCATTTATTACTATAAAAGACCACAAAGAGAAGACCATAAGAAATAATAGATCTAGATTTAAAAAAATAAGAAATTCTAATTTTTACATTGGGAAATTTGATATACCTAAGTTATGAGAACTGGCGCACCATTATATTTTAACTGACAGTTAAAACTAGCAAAGAATACGGATTAAGTACCTACTGTTTATATAGAGATAATGATCTAAGCTATTTTCATAATATTACCAAACCACAATCAGAAATAATAAAAAAATTTTTTTTTATAAATTTTTTTATAATCAAAATTCAAGCTAAATAAATCAATAAAAACTAAAAAATGTTAACATCCATAATATTTCGTTTAATGTTCTAAAATCTATACCACGATGATAATAAAGAAGTATTTAATAGAGCTTTTAGTAAAGAAGTATTTGATAGAGCTGAGTCTTTTTATAATAAAGCCTTTATGTCTAGTAGACTTAAAGACTTTATAGTCTAGTAGTCTAGTAGGCTGAGTCTTTTTATAATTTAAGTCTAGTAGATTTACTAGATTTAATGATCTCTCGTTACTGCTATTTCTAGCATTTTCAAAAAAATTAAAAAATCACAAGGACAAAACATTATTTGGTTCCAACCCTCTTTTTTCAATAAACGTCAAGACAAACATAGGCAAATTTTTCTTAAATTCAATTGATAAAAATTTCCCATAAAATCATAAATTCCATATACAGAGTAACCATATGCTTAAACTTACTTTAGACATTTTTACCAAAGGTTTAAGAAAACACATAAATGATCTTTTTTTTAACACTAAAGTCACTATTAAAACTCCTAATAAAACCTAATATATATTTTTACTATATGAAATTAGTAATATGTTATTGTTAATCAACTCCTAAAAGATAATATATTTTAATCCTTATAGGATATATAATAAAATAAATCAAAACAAAATAAAATAAACAATTTGATTACTAAAAAAAGTGTTTTCTCATTTTGATAGTTTTTTTTTTTGTTTGACATGAAAATGTCAATATATATATATATATATACTTTTATATATATATATATATACTTTTATATATATATATATATACTTTTATATATATATATATACTTTTATATATATATATATATATATATACTTTTATATATATATATATACTTTTATATATATATATATATATATATATATATATATATATATATATATATATATATATATATATATATATATATATATTTATATATTTATATATATACATATATTATAAAAAAATAATTACTTTTGAATCTAGATTGATTATGCTCAACTAATGGTTCGCAAACAACTGTCTCTTGATAAATAGGTTGAACCATACGAAATAAATGAGTCAGCAAAATATTGACAGGTAGAGTAATAAAAGCAGAAACAATTCCAACATACAACTAAAAAAAAAAATTAAACATAGACTTCAAATAAATGTTTATAAACAAACATCACAGTAATAGAAATTATTTATTTTTGGACTGACTCTGGGCACTATGCTAAAAGTGTGACTTGATGGGATGGGAAAAATATCCAATATGTTACAAAAGTTGATGACTTTGCTTGTGTCACAGAATTATTATCTAATGAAGATTTTTGATCAATCCTGAAAGAAACCTATAGAAAAACAATTAGGAGGCTGAAAAGAAAAACCAACTGCAAAAAAAAATCGCTATATAAAAAAACCTCCTAAGCAAAGACTTATAGGGTAAGCAGAATAATTCTGTTGACCAGCCTCACACTCTTTCTTTATCTCTTTGGTGCAGATTAAAACCTATAATATTGTTTACAGCCTATGATAATTTTGTTTTAGAAAAGTTAAAACCTTGTACATGTATGCATTAACATCTATACAAAAAAGTTGACACAGAAAAATTTTAACGAGTCAACAAGAAAATTTTTAGTCATTATCTTATATAAAAAATTAAATTATTTAATAATAATTAATAAATATATTAATTAATAATATTATTATATTAAAAAAATATTTAAATAAATATATTATTTAATAGTAGTATTAACTTGTTGCTCATTTTTGCCTTCATTTTTCAGCTTGTATTTGTATTATTTTGCCACCAAAGATTATATTTTTTGAAAACATTTTTTTTTTAGATAAAAATCTAATTTATTTGACTACTTGTAAAGTATATAAAAAGTACTGGGAAAACTTGTTAATAAAACATAAATTTAAAAAGAAACCACCTGCAACTTTTTAATGCTTAAATTACTGTAGGAAAGCCTGTAAACTAACAATTCAGAGAAGTATTGGTTAGCTACTGGATATTGTAAAACACCTAGAAAAAGTACTGGGTACAAAGTTTAGTTCAGGTACTTTGCTTTAGTTTGTTTAATTTGGTACTTTGTTTTAGTTATATAAAATTTATTATAATTTATTCAAGTTTATATATTATTTAAAGTTTTCACAAAAAAGTAATACTAAATTATAAAATTAAACCAAATTGATATATTAAGACACCTGCTTTGTTGTAAATGTGAATACTCCTATTTTATTTTCTGTTGCTGGACTGCTTGGTGGTACTTTCTCAAAAAACATTGCACTTGCTGTCATCGATGTCATTAACAAACAGACAGAAACAGAAATCCTTTGGCATCTTGTAAAATTACTAATGGGTAAACGTGTCACAATAGAAAGCCATAAATGCTCATCAGTGAAACCGTTCCGAGCATTTGAAAAAAAAAGGTAGTTGAAACTTGTAATATTCTCTTTTCCAGAGACTGGCAAAACAAGATCTAGTGAGCTGTTGTCTTGATCAACAGCTATCCAACAATTTGCCATAAAATAAAAATGTTCTTCTGTTTGAAGATCTACAACCTCAATATCTCTTAATGAAATAAAAAAATGCTTAATAATAACAATGATAATAATAATGATAATAATATTTAAAATATTAAAATAACAATAATATCAATAACAGTAGTAATAATAACAATAAATAAAAAATATATTAAAAAAACTTTTTAAAAACAACAAATAAAAATAAATAAATAGAATTGCTGTTAAATAATACAAAAAATATATAAAAATATTTAAAAAAAGAAAAACATTTTTAAAATGTACTAAAAAGTAAAAAATAAACTATTTCACAGGACCCAAGGACTTTGTGTATGTACACAACCTAAAATAATTAAAGTCAATGACTGAAAATGTTAGCACCAATAGGAACGAGTTGTTCTTAGTTGCCTAACATTTTCAGTCATTGACTTTAATGATATTTCAGGTTGTGTATGTACACAAAGTCCTTGGGTCCATTAAAATAGTTTATTTTTTACTTTTTTTAAATGTTATTTTTTAAAAGTTTTTTTTTATATATATTTTATTTTTTACTTTTTAGTCCATTTTTAAAATATTAAAAAAAAAAAATTTTTATATACTTTTTGTATTATTTAACAGCGTATTTATTTACACTAAACTAAAATGCTAAACGTTTGTTGTTTATTTTTTATTTAATTTTCTTAACTATTTTTTTATTTTTATAACTAAAGTCTGTTTTGCATTGTTCATTTTAACTACTTTTTTTAACAATTTCTTTTAAAATAACAGTAACACTAATGTGATAATAATAATAACAAAAATAAAAATAATGGTAATAATAATAATTAAAATAACAATAGTAATAAAAATAATATTAATAAATGATAACTTTTTTATAAAATCTGAAAATAAATATAAAAATTTAAATCTCAATAAACTAATTAAAAAAAAAAAAAAAATTAAATTCAAAACTTAAATAAAATTAAAAAAAAAAAAGTTAAATAAAAAACATTTATATAAATATTATATAAAAATTTAATATTTTTATAAAAATTAAAAACTTAAGACATGTTTTAAGTTTTTTTGATGGCAAAGATCTATTGCTGTTACATTAGCATGTGTTCAAAAATGGAGCTACATAAAAAGCAATGATTTCTGGATGTTAAAAGTAAAAATGTTGAATATAAAAAAACCTGAGTAATGAGAATTCACAAGTTCTAAATTCTGTACAGAGGTGGAAAGTAACAAATTATATTTACTTGCATTACTGTAATTGAGTAGTTTTTTCGTAAATTTTCTACTTTTTAAGTATTTTTTAAGTTTTTTTTATAAAATTTTTAAGTATTTTTTATAAAAGTCAATATGTTCAGTCAGTCAATATGCAAAAGCACTTTCAAAACAAGAGATTTTTATTGCAGCTAAACATTTAACTCTAAAGCATGATGAACAAGACTGCTGCAAAGAACGACAAGTTTAACGTAGTACCACCAAGAGTGTGATATAGATTCAACTGAAATTTTTGGCTTAAAAAATAAATGCTCTGCCATTACACAACTAACACATATCTAGATTCAAAAATTGATTATCTAATAGATATTTATCTAACTTGATCCTTATCTCTTATCTCAATACCCTTGTAGATAATCTAAACACCAATCATATAAATAATCTTGTGGATAAAAAATCATACCTTGCAGATAATAATTAGATAGATGTAAATCATGAAATGAAAGTTAAAAATGTAAATGTAAAATTAAATTAGTATAAAATTGAATTAGAAACTTATTTAACTAGGCTTAATCATAGATTGGAAAAACTAAAAAAAAGTAAAAACTGAATGTTTTTCAAGTGATATCAAATATATATAGTGGTGTCAATATAACAATGGCCTTAGTCAAGTAATCTAGGTTTCATTTAACTATTCAGCTAAATACATATAAAAAAATTCCCACAATTGCCCAGAGGTATAGCTAAATAAAGATTTTTTGGACTGTTTTAATAGTATAGTATAAAAAAATGTTTAAATGCTTAAATAATAAAGGAAACAAGTTTGAAGAAAGTCAGGCAAAAAACCTTAGAGCTCATCTTTTTAAAAAAAAAATTATGCAAATGTAATATTTAGTAGCAAAACACTAATAAAAAAAAAATTAACTTAATAACAACAAAAATGTTTACTTAATTGAAGGTCTTTAAATAAATAAAATAAAAAAAGTACCTTAAGTACCATCCACCTCCAGTGTTGTCATGCCAAAGTTGCATATAGCTTAGATCACCAAGACAGACTGTTGTTGTCATTATAAAAATATCTACATTAGATCTTTGGAAACAAACCCTATGAGAATCTTTTAAACGCCGATTTCCAGAGTCACCTAAATCTCCTAAACAATTTTTATTATTCATACTTAAAAAGAAAACAAATAAAATATCTCCTTGATAAAAAGCAAGTCTTATATATTTCATATATACACATATATATGTAAACATTATATATATATATGTATATATATATATATATATATATATATATATATATATATATATATATATATATATATATATATATATAATATATATATATATATATATTATCAATAATATCATAAAATAATAATAAAATAATATAAAAAAAAAAGTTTTTTAAAAGTACACTACCATTTATAACTAAGAATAATAAAAATGCTAAAGTGGGCAAAACTACATAAAAAATGGACTGTAAACTTGGACTGACATGTCAAAGTTTTAAATCTTTGGTTTCAAGATAAGATTGTTTAAAAAAAAAATTAAATTTATGATAAAATAATGTGTATTAATGACTGTAAAACATGGTGGATGTAGTGTTGAGATGTGGAGCTGTTTTAGTTAAAATTCCAATGGTGACTTTTTATAGGAGGAAATTAAAAGTAATATCAAAAACTAATGCCAAATGATGCATAAGATGTGGACAAAACTTTTTAGTTAGTGGCATAAAATTGACATATAGGATAAGTAATTAAGTAGAATGCCAAGAATATGTATGACTGTTATTGTTGCTAAGAGTGATTAAAAGGCAAGTAAATTATAAATTAACCTAATCAGACTATATTAATTTTTTCGAAAACCTAATACAGGTTACTTTAAAGGTAACTAGTTACTCCCAATAGTAAGTAAAACTATGTATATTAATATCTTATTTCGAAAAGGACAAAACTATAAAAAATTACAAAAATTATAGTCCATAATTATTCTTCTAATAATTATGGACTGTAGTGTATGTTATGTTGGGTCTCAAAAGAAGTGAAATTATATATAAATTTCAAAAATAATCATCATTTTATAAAAAAGACAGGAAAAAAATTTTTTAAATAAATCTTTTTGTAAAAATGTAATTCTTTTGTAAAAATGTAATTTTTTTGTAAAAATGTAATTTTTTTTTCAATTGAAAATGTAATTTTTTAGACAGTAAAATTTATAATAATTTTTTTATAAAATAATGATTATGTTTAAAATTTTTATATAATTTTGCTTCTTTTGAGACACAACATAATATACTTTTAAAGAACTTTTTTTATAACAATTTTAGGGAATTGTCTGATGTTCTGAGTCTTTATAGGGACCCCTATAAACATTTTTTTTTTCAAAAAATTTCTAACTCCAGTTTTATTTTATTATATAAAATACATTTAGAAGGTGGGAGCAGGCATATTTTAAAAAAGTTGTTTTTTGGGACACCTTAATATCTAAAATACAGTTAAGCACATGTGGAAAGATTTAAAATAATTGAAAAGATAGATTGAAACAATTTGGTAACACCTGGTGATAAAAATTTAATAAATTTGAAATTTGAAAAACATGGCCAAAAGTCATAAGATAATTGAAGTCACTAAAAATTTGTGGATAGTAAACTTTTGATCCCCTGAACCTAAACTGACACTTTTTAAAATTTTTAAATAGCATATCCAAAACGTAGTAGAAATATATTTGGACCTTCGTTCTATTTAGTTTCTATTTGACATCTAAATTTAATAGATTAATATGTCAAACCTCTAATGACAGGATATATTATCCATATTATTAAGCCGCAGAACAGTGTTTAGGCCAGACTCGCTTTTGGTTTGAAAGATAGCTTTTTTTATTTATTCATTAAAGAAATTTTTTTTTTTAATTACATTTTTATAATAACTATTTTATATATAATATTATTTATGTAAACCATCACTGCTAATCAATATTATCGGAATCATCGTATTTTGAAATTTCTTTGATAAATAGTATTGCAAACACATGATTTTCTAAGTTTTTAAAAACAGTTGTAAGGTAATAAGATTTTTAACCTTTAGAAGGCAAACTTCTGCTGACTGATAAGAATTAGTGATTGAAGAATTGGCACAATCTGGCGAAAACAGAAGTAAAAAAAAAAAATGCATTGTAGCGGAGCCTTTTTCTTGGTATTTTGTTGGGGCTTTCTTTTTCTAGAATCCTGAGCATTTTTAGATATGGCATGGTCTTAAAGTCCAGATGGCATGACCTTGAAGCCCAAAGACTTATCTGAGTTGCGAATGCTTACTCAGTTGAACTAAATGAGGAACATATTATATATTTTAATATCTTCCCATTTTTTTGGGATTTGGTTTTTTCACTTGTTTCATCAAAATTCATAAAGGTTGACAGAAGGTTTTTTTTATCTTCTTTTTTTTTTTTTGTGTGTGTTTTTTTTTTTGTGCTTTAAAAAATCTAAAATAACTTAAAAAAAATTTAAAATTTTTAATTTAAACAAGCATTTAAAAAATTATAATTGTTGAGGTTTTCAACCTCATAAGCATTCAAATATTTTGTTTAACTGTTTTAATTGCTTTAATTGTTTTTCCATTTTTAAGTTTTTGCATCTTTTGAAAATTAGAAATTTTTTCTTCTCAAGCAATGATTGTTCAACTTGGTCATCTAAATCTGGTCATGGGATGTCAAGTGGTCATGGGATGTCTTGAGTGTATTTCCAAAATTTAAAAAATTTCTGTAATTTACAAACAATCTCTGAACCTTTAAATGTAAAACTATTAAATTAAAAAAAACATAAACATATGATTACTTTACAGAATTTTTTTTTCCTTTTTTTTAATTCTGGTCCACTCCCAACAAGACTGCAAGCAACCACTATTAAGTTGTGGTTAACTGCAAGCAACCATTATTAAAAAAAAGAATAGAGTTTTAGAGCAAGAAAATGCTTTACAGAAGACATAAAAAGTTGAAGGTTGTATAAGTCAAGAAAACATGAAGATGGGAGAGAGTTCCAAAAGGTTGAGGCGTGGGGAAAAAAAACTAGACACCTTTTGGAGTATGCAGGGACAGATACAGTGAATCAATGAGACTTTGATGAATGACAAGTCAAGAGAGAATGAGTTTTAGTTGATAGAACTAGAGATGATAGCTCCTTTAAGCAGTAACCATGATAGTATTTGTAGAAAAGAAATAGAGATTTTATGAAGATGGGAAAGAGTCTTAAGCTTAACATATATAGCTGGCCCAAATATATTTACAATGCATTTTTGGAACTTGTCTAGAAAAGAAAGAGCATTATTAGAAGAACTAGCCTAAATATGACAACAGTATTCCATACAAGGAGGAATAAGAGATTTGTAGAGGTAGAGAATGCAATCAGGAGAGAGAAAATGGCAAGCACAATAAAGAGAAGCAACTAAGCAGATGCTAATTTAGCAAACGATTGTATATATGGTTTTCATGAAAGATCCGTAGTAAACGATAATCTAAGAAGACATAAAGAAGAGGACTCGGTGAAAGGGTTGCCATTCATTAATATAGACTGTATTAACAGTACTGCGATAGTTGTTTGCAGTAAATAACTGAGTTTTGTTGGAGTTAAAATTTACAAACCCCTGTGAGCCCCAATCTGTTCCAGAAGTAAGATCAGATTCATTGGCTGCTTGTTCTAAGCAATCAAAAAGAGAAGAATTTAATTTAACTAATTTAAAATAAAAAAAAAAACAGAATTATACTAATTCAGTATAGTATACTGTTTCAGTACCAAAGAAAATAAAAAATATACAAAAAAATAAATAATGAATACAAAATAATTATACAAATGTAATGTAACTTTAATCAAAAGTTCTCAATTTTTATGCAATTAAACAGTTTTTTTTTAAGTATGAGAATTAAGATGTGTTCTTAAATTTTTACAATTTTAATTACATTTTACAAAATGATTTTCTTGAAAAAAACATAATATTTATGTATAATATATGTCAAAACCACTAATTTTATGAAGGAAAAAATTTGGATTTAAAAAATCAAAATAAGTACTTGAAAAGTAAAAATTTATGTAAAAATAGGCAAAAAAAGTCTATTTTTAATAGACTTTTATGAACAACATTAGTAGGATCTCACGGGTTCACAACTTTTTCAATGCTTAAAAAATGCATCCTAGAAAAAAAGAAGTTATTTTTATTTACATTTTTAAAAATATTTTTCACTTAAAAACACAAAATAAAGTAAATGATTAAAATAATACCTTAAAAAGTATTGTCCATAGCTAATTTTTCAGTAATGATAATTAACTTTTTTGTAAATATAACTTATTTGAGCACATAATTGCATTGTTTATAAAACCACAAAACACATGTTTTCAATAAGAGGTGTTCTACCACCTGGATATAAGTAACTATAAAACTTCATGAACTTTTTTTAAAAAATAAAATGCAAAAGGGCTTTGTTTACATTATTGCAAAATAATAACTTCAAACTTTTTTGATTAGTAATTTTCATTTTTTGACTTTTGGCAAATTTGCCTATTGTGCGTGGTGACAAACTTGGTGATTTTTTTTTTTTTTTATATTATTTTTATATATATTCAGTTTTTTTATTGTTTTATTTTACAATTGTTAATAGAATCAGCCTCTTTGAGGGCTTCCACAGAGTTTATGAAACCTATTAAAAAATGGCCTCAGAACCATTAAACTGAGTTTTAGGGCTGTGTCCTCATTAGGGGATAACAGATAACAGTTGCATAGCCACTAATAAGCGGGTAAAGAAAAATCATCTCTAGTTCTAATAGTAAGCAATTTTTAAAAATTTTAAAAGATATTAGTGAAAACACTCAAAATTTAGATTTAAATAAAAATAATATGTTAGAATAATGTCAACAAAGCCAATGGAAAGTTGTGAAATTTCTATGTTTCAGAACAATGTCCAGTGTCAACAAAGTCAATTGATAGCTTGCACATATGAAAAAGAATCAACCAAATTTTAAATAAAAAAAGTTGGAAACCTGGCAGAAAACTCAAAATCAAGTAAAAAAGCTTTGTTTAGTGGTCCAAAATTTCATCTAAATTGAAAAATGACTCCAACAGTTAGAAGCTTAAATAATTCTCTAAGTGTTAAAAAAGCGAAGTGTTGCTTTAAAAGAGAAGTTAAAATTAACTCATAATATGTTAATTAAATGGTTAAAACATGATTTCATGACAGATAGAAGAAATGTAAGTATGTGTTGAGGCAAATCATCTGTCTTAATAAATCAGAGAATAATAGCTTACAAGACAAAGATCCAAGACTAAATTTTAACAAGTCCCAAATATGACGAGTGGATCTAAATGGCTTTTACAAAAGATAATATTTGACTAAAGAAAAGTTACAAAAATATTAAAAAAACAAACAAAATGTAAAACAATATTTGATGTAAAATTATTTGTTTTACATTAACCATCACAATGGTAAACATTAAATATTAAATATCCTTGCTTAGTAGGTTTTCTACAATACAGAATTAGAATGTAACTACATTATACCTATGATAAGCATTAGTAATAACTTTTCTCATAGCTATTGGTTTGCTTAAATATTTTATTTTTTAGTTATCCACAATTTTGAACAATTTTTTATGTCACTTACCCACAATTTTGAAGAAAATATTTGATTTCGTACCAGCATTTCTTCGACTACCTGTAGTCACTGTTATTTGATAAAGATAACATTCTTCATCATGGTTATCAATCAGTGGACAAACTCCAACCTAACACATAATTACAATAGAACTACATTGTTAGAATTACTTTTGAAATTTAATTTGACTTAAACAACAGTTTCTTGTCAATATTTTTTGGTTGTATAAAAGTCATGTAAACAACGGAAAGTGCTTTTTAATTAAGTAAAAAAAAAATTTGTTGTTGAACTTTAGACAAAAGGCTATAGAGTATAACAATAAGTTGAACTTTGTGCTTGAATCTTTTAAATCTTTTTTTCAAACAAATTATTTGTTTATTTCTTTTTTATTGGTTTGTTGATTAGAAGCTTTAAGCTTCTAATCAACATTGGTTTGTTGATTAGAAGCTTTAAACTTCTAACTTATTGTTATACTCTATAGTCTTTTGTCTAAAGTTCAACAATAAATTTTTTTAAAGATAAATTTATGTAACAAAAATATATAATTAAAAACTTTATTGCACATATAATATAGATAAATATTGAATAAAAAACGCTTGAATAACGAGTGCAAGTGCTGTTTTTTAGAGTATTTAAAACTTTTTAAAATAATTTGCAAACTTTTTCTGAGTACTTTTTGGGTAATTGATAAACTTCTTACCTGTTTCTTACCTATTTCTTACCTGTTAATAAACTTATTTCTTACCTGTTAATAAACTTACTTCTTACCTGTTAATAAATTTATTTCTTACCTGTTAATAAACTTATTTCTTACCTGTTAATAAACTTATTTCTTACCTGTTAATAAACTTATTTCTTACCTGTTAATAAACTTATTTCTTACCTGTTAATAAACTTATTTCTTACCTGTTAATAAACTTATTTCTTACCTGTTAATAAGGTCATTTTTCCAAATTACCCTTGAGTTAATTACCATAAAATTAGGTAATTTTTAATTTATTCTGTAATAATATAATGTAAACAGAAAATATGATTAAAAAGTAGAAAAATTATGCATCCAAAGTTTAACATGATTTAATTTGTTTTTTATTGACATTATTATTAAACATAAAATTATTTTTTAACATGTAAATTAATGTTATTTAACACATATAGCAAAATAAAGGTAAAATATTTTTAAGACATATCCGAAAAAAATCCAGGAATAAAAACGCTTTTTGTGTATTTAAGAATATCTCATGTGCTTGAAAAAATTTTTTTGACATGCCTATATCATTTTTTCTTCTATATAAAAGAAAAGTATTTTAATGCTTACTTAAATAGAGTTAATAATATTAAGATAAATATAATAATAATAATATTAGAGTTAAACTAGATTTTTAGGTGAAAAATAATTAAAGTGGTCTCTAAGTGCTGAGTGTTTACATATCTTAAGTAATCCTTAAAATTAAGTTTCATATTATTTAAACATTCCAAAACAAAGTATTTATCAAAACATAAGCAAAAAACTTTTTAATAAATAATTTTTAATGACAATTTTTTTTCTTGAAGGCAAGTTTTGATTTTAAGACCATTTTTTTTCTTGAAGATAAGTTCTCTTTTTTTTAATTTTTAAAAAAAAAAATTTTTGATTTTTTTTTTTACATAATTACTGCAGAAATATATGGCAAAACAATAAATACTTTTTTATTAATATCTCAATAAACAAATTGTAATTTTAATTAACACAAAACTTACATGCTTACATACTTTAAATGCTTACATTTTTTAATAGGCTGAGTGAATAAAAAACAATTGCTTTTACTCATCGTTTTTCGAATCATTGTTCAGCTTTACACAAATTTTTAGAGATTTTGCTCATGTATTTTTATTTACGTAAAGCTGACCAGTTACACTAATTTGTCTTGGCACTTGGGAATCCTTTTATTAATAAATATACGCATACAAAAAAGAAAAAATTATTTTTAAAAATAATGACTTACCTAAGTAAAATATAGCATAAAGTAATTGATGAATGATACCTTTACTGTTTCAATTATTTGATGACAAAAAAAATATTTTTAACTTGTATTTCCAGAAAACTATTTGGATATTCGGAAAAAATAAAAAAGTGCAAAAATATCAAGAATTCCGGAAGAAACTTTTACACTTTACACTATTTAAAATATTTTTTATTATTAATTTCTTTTTTAGCAGCTAGCATAATACGTAAAGGTTTTTAGAACTAAAATACTAAAATAAAAATGGAAACAAGAAGAAGAAGAAGTTGAGGTTGTGCTTGCAACATATAAAAAAATCAACAATTGCTACATTTATTCTTATTAGGGAGACAGAGCAAGAAGTTAACCCTGTATATAAAGTTAATCTAAAATTTTGAAAAATAAGTTTACTTATTACTTAAGGCTTGTGCAAAGTCTAAAAATTTTTAATCTCTAAGTGAAAATTTAAATCTTTAATAACAACTAAACCAACATCAGCGAAACCAGATTGAGCTTTTTGGTCATGGGGTTGTTTACCACAAAATGAAAAATATATTAGGTAATGATACCCTCAATCTTTTATTTTAAATGTGTCAGTTCTACAAAACATTTAACAGAAAAATATAGTTAAAAAAGAATCATCTGGCTGAGTAGAAATTCAAATGTTAAGAATTTTCTAGGTTGAATTGCTGATTCAATATTATATAATTCTTCTAGAAAATCAAGTAATAATATGTTCAAAAAAACAAAGACACTGAAACATCCTTATAACTTATTCTTTAGACCATTTTCTGCTAACTTACCAGGTTTAAATGTAAATTTTACTCCAAAAATGCGTTTACAAGTATTTTAGAGTTAAACTGTCCTAGAGTGTTATGTTTGCAATATGGGTGAAAGTGCTTGGAACAAAAATTTAAAAAAATCAGATCACATAAGGGCAAAGTTCTATAATAAATATTGAGATTAAAAATTAACAAATTTTATAAAATTTGTTCCTTAGATAAACTAAAAGAAACTCTGGAGAAATTTGGTTTCATTTAGAAATAATGAGAATTAAATGAAGAAATATTAACAACACAAGTTAAAGAATTAAAAGTTAAAAACTCTATATATTTTAAACACATTTGCTTACATTTGCAATGCATTAAGAATATTTTGCATGGTTCCAGTAACTGTGGCAGAAGCTAAACACCTGTTTTGTCAACTAGCTTGAACTCAGAACTTTTTTACAAGTTTCTTAGTTCAATTCCCACTACATCCCTGGCTATATAAAATGTGTGCACATATGTGTGTGTTCGAATGAAATTCAGACTACAAAAAAATTTAAACAATTAAAACTTAATTTAAACAACAATTCAAGTTAATAATTTAGAGTTACAGTAAAAGGATGCAACTTTGGTGAATGACAAGCCACACAAAATTGACTTGCTTAAATAAGACAAATGATGATAACTCACTTATGAAGCAACTATGGTAGTACTTGTAACATGGTAGACATAGCAACCATACACTTGTAGGAAGAAAAAAAAAGTCTTACAATAAAGAGACATGGTAGATAAAGTAGATTCAACAATATTTTTTTTAACTTTTTTTTTCCATTCTTAGGCTTTACACTTTGTATGCATTTTTATTTATTTTGTTTTTGTTTGGTCATATATTTGATGTATGTCTTTGTTTATTTTAAGTGAATATAAAATGATTTTTTTTTTGTTATTATAAGAATTGTTTGGGTGTAATGACTGTCATTTTTGTCTTCATATATTTTTAAATTTCTTCGTTTAATCTTTATTTTTGTCTTGACAACTGTCAATATATGTTTTGTTTGAAAAATAATTCTCCTTTTAGCACATTAAGCACATTAGAATAAAAATAATTATTCTAATGTGCTTAATTTTTCCCTCAGGTGTTTACTGCTCATGTGTAATTATTCCACAAATTTATATGCCAAAGATTTTAAATAAAAATTGCAAATTCTAGAAGTTTTATGGACTATTATTTCAATTCTCTAGGAATATCCAGAAGTAATGGTCGCTTTCTAAGTAATTTGTGATGCCTGGAAAATAGGTTTGAAAGTTGACTTTCTGGTTATTGAAATGAGACAAAAAAAAATATTATGATGAGACCAAAAAAATAAAATCACTTGAGTAATAGCAATAAATATAAAAGGGCAACAATAAATAACAAAAAAATAATTAGTAACAACACCACAAAAAAAATGACATAACTGACAATATAAACTATACACAAATGTACGTTATAAACGATGCCCAAAATTACACAACAGTATAAATAATACATAGAAATACCCTACAAGATAAAAAATATACATAAATTCATGCCAATATAAGCAATATAAGAAAACACACGACAACATAAGCAATACACAAAAATACGTGACTTTTTTTGTTTTTCATTTCCTTATTTATCTATTTTTCAACTTTTTGCTGTTAAAAATATTCCTCCATTTGCGATGTCATTGCAAAGTGAATGCAAAGTGTTGCATTCACTTTGCAGTTACATTTGAAAAAAATTTTCTTTAGAATTTTAAAAGAGTGTAAAATCAAAAGTGTAAGTGTTTTACAAAATAGAAATTAAATACTTATTAATAAACAAATATTTCTCATTGCATATTTAATTCATTTACACATTTTATAGTTTTAATGACAACAGTTCTGTGATAACAATAATTAATCTAAAACAATTAATAAATTTAGTTCTTAGATTAAAAGCCCAGCCAACTTAATAGCAAAAATTCTCAAAATTTAAATTTAACTAATGAACAACTATTCTAGATTAAAAAAAATTAATATTGATTGTTTATTTTAAAATTCAGAAATTATAATCTAATTGGTAATTAAAAAGAATAAACAATAGACAAAAAACAATATATTTGGTAATTAGCAGAGCATTAAAAATAGACAACAACAACCTAATTGACAATTAACAATAGACCACAAAAAATAAATATGACTAACCTTTTTTATGTCACTTTTGTCAAATCTTCTTGCAAACACCAAACTTACAACCCACAGAAAAATAACAGAAACTACTACAGCAAGCAGAGTGTAGCCTGCTTTCAGTAATGCTAAAGTAGGAGTAGGTACTATATTTGGTGCAACATAAAATCCTCCAAATGCAGTCAAATGGTTACATTTGCATTTAGTGACCAAGAATGTAACTGTGAATAAGTCTAGCTAAATTAAAATAAATCTGTACATGACATAACATAATGTCTACATATGCATATACATATATAAAAAAGAAAGTATTTAAAAGAACATATCTAAATTAAAGTCTTGAAAAAATCAAACCCATAAATCTACCTCACATCCATCTGACATCCACTTGTTATTACTTTCATTCCAATAATTGCATTCAACACAAAAAGATTTTATCTCATAAAGAAATGCTCCATAAAATTCCTTTTCATCAAATGTATACAGATTTGATTCCAATATCTTTTCAGGCATTGGTCCAACATAAAAGTAAGATAAATAAAGATATTTTTTGTTTAAAAAAGAATATGTGGAATTATGAAAATCCCATAATATAATTGACCCATCTTTTAACAGTCTATATTTTTGACTTCGTTGAATATTTATAGACAAATTGGAATGTGGTGTATTATTCCCAATAATAAGATCAGTACCATCTCTAGTTGAAATGTTTAATTTGATATCATAATCATCATTTGTTGGAGCTTTTCCATATTGAATATAAACAATTAGGTTAGTCTTGTTTTGTGGATCATTTAATGCTACAAACTTCATCATTAGTTTGCATTCAGCAGATGATATATTAATGAAGTTCATTTTAACATTGTTTGGCATTGGTAGCGATATGTTTTGACCAATCATTTTCTCTGGAATATTTTTTATTGAAATATCAATCATAGATGTCAAGTTTTTCAATTCAATTTTTTCTCCACTTGTTGTGCTCAAGTATAAAATTTGATTTTCAGAAATAATATTTCTAGAACGTTCTAAATCCCATGTAAATGATTGATTCTTCAAATTAAGGTTCTAAACATATTATATGAAAAACTTAAAAATTATAAACTAACTAATAAATAATTCATTGGAAATAAAAATTTTATAAATTCAATAACTTTATATAATTTATAAATATATTATAACTAACATTACAAACAATGACCAAAAAAATTAAAATTTAAATAGCGCAAAGCATTATTGGTTAGACAAGACACTAGAACAATAAATTTACAAAATAAACTATTATGATCTGATGCAGCAAAATCAGTTTGTTAAAGTTTTGTTTTTTACGAAAGTTTGTCCACCAAAGTTTTCTATGTTTTTTACGAAAGTTTAAAATTATGATTGTCTTTTTTTTTTTTTTTTTATGTTGATTTAAGTCCCTAAGAAGTCCTTACGGTCTTATCACAGAGCACCGTGGAAGAGCATTTAATAGGAAGTTCATGCCTCCTTCCCAACCAATGTCGCAAAACTTGTTCAGAGGTGGGGTTTGAACCACGAATCTTATGTTTCTGAGGCAAGTGCGCTACCACTGCGCCATGGCTGCTCGTTGTCTTAAAAATTTGGGAGAAAATTACAAGCAAAGAAAAAATTCATTTGAAAGTTCAACATCAACTTTAGTAAATTTTTGGAGTAAATTGCAGCAAATAAAACCTAAATAAAATATACCAGATTTGAAATTAAATGAATCACTTAATGAAGAATAAAACGAAATAAATGTTAAATTTAAAAAATGCGACAATTTTTTGCTTGGTTAATCTAAAAAAAATAATTATTTTAATTAAAATACGCTAATGCAAAATTTTTCCCAAAATTTCACAAAATTGGAATTGAAAAAAAGTTTTTAAAGTTTCACAGATTCAGACCCGAGAAACAAGAAAACAGCACCAGTGTTAGTGGAATTGAAAACTCCTGATAATAGAATTGAAGTTATACACTCAGCCAAAAATTTAAGAACAAATGAATGTACTTCAAAAATGTATTTAATAATCTTGATCCAATCACAATGCATTGTAATCTTGTCAAAAAACATTTAGTTCAAAAAAATAAATCGAACAATCAATTTAAAAAATAAAGTATTGTTGTATCAAGTTTCGATTATTAATAAGGTCTCATTACATCATGGTATGATCATATATGGATTCAATATATAATCAATATGGGATTCAAGACAATAACAGCAACAACAACAACAACAACAACAACAACAACAACGACAATAACAACAACAACAAGTTATTTATTTTCCTTAAACCATCTTTACAATAGTATCAATAATAATAAAAATAATAATAATAACAATAGTAATAATAATAATAATATAAGGTAACAAAATTAATACAAATTATAGTAATAGCAACAATAAGTATGTTTACAATAATTATAATAATAAAAAAAAAAAAAAAAAATATTATAATGGTAGTTTTAAGCATTGAAATATTTATAATAATAAGTTAATGTTTTATTAGGATGGTGTCACTCATACAGAAATTTGATCAAAGGAGTGACACCAACATAAACAGAAACATTAAACATAATATAATTAATAATAAGCAAAGACATACATTAAAACACATGGACAATAAATCCATAGATTAAAGCACATAGAACATACATTAACAATAAATATGCAGAAATCATAATTTTTTGAACTCATTCAAAATGCATACAAAGCTCTTGTTCCATTTAAGGACGCACTGATAAACGATAGAATGTTTACCACATTTCTGGGTTTTAAAATATAATATAAAAGATGATTTAGTTTTCCATTGTATATATTTTTAGAAGAGTAGAAATGCACTAGTCTATTTTCTGTGAACAAGTTTGTAATGGAAGATAGTAAACTTTTATTTAAGGAGTCGAAAACAAAAAAAAAATTAGCATACTTTACTAGTGCTGGAAATGTTGGAATGCTAAGTTTTTTGAAGGACTCCGATGTATCTGATTTATTTGATTGGAAGTTTATTAATCTAATGGATTATGAGGCTTATGAATGGCTGAGAGGATAACAACTTTATAATGCAAGAGTTTCCAACTTGACCCAAAACTTGTCAACAATAGCTAAATGAGATGAGAATAAGGCATTAGTAAATATTCTAAAGTGTAACTTTATTGACGAATTATTAAAACCGTTAGCTAGAGTGTCTTGCTTAGTTCATCAATGTGAAAGTTCCATGAAAGATTGCAGTCAATTAACCAACATTTTTAAAAACTCTTGAAGGATATAACCATTTATTACTAATTTTGATTTCAATTTCAACATTTTAAAAAAACAGTTTTTTCTCAGAGATGAAAAAAATATTTGAGCTGTTTTTTTGGTTTTGAGACATTTTTGAGACCAGGTTAGCATTTAACCACTATATCTTTTGATCCGAATTTCTATTTTTACAAGAAGAATGATAAAAATTGTTGATGTGTGAAAGATTTGTATTGTCAGCAAACAGATGAATTGACAAAAAGTGAATAGAGTTGGTTAGGTCATTAACGTAGATTAAAACCACACAAAACTGATTTATTACTAGAGTTAAAATGATATACTTCCAAATTGTTTTTGATCTGAAAAGTAAGATTAAATCTAGTCATTTACAATACCATGAACTCTATAATGCTCTAATTTAGAAATCAAAATACTATGGTCAACGCTATCGAAATCTTTTTGTAAATCAATAAAAACACCATTTTTCTGATTTTTTCTGTTATACTTATTAATGCATGGCAAGTAGATTGTTTTGATCAAAAACCAAATTGAAAATCATTTAAACAATTAAATGAGTTTAGAAAAGAGTATGCTCTAAAATACATAAGTTATTCAAGAAGCTTACTAATGTTAGATTAAGTTAAAATAGGTCTATAATAGACCTATTTTATATTAAAAAACGGTTTATAAAATGTTTCTTTGCGAACACCGATATAGTATACTTAAAAATTTTAAATGTACTGAACTGCAATTACTTTTAAAGTTCAATATCAACTTTAGTAACTTTTTGGAGTAAATTGCAGCAAATAAAACTTTAATCAAATATGTCAGATTTGAAATTAAATGAATCACTTAATAATCACTTAAAATCCATGTGATGGAATAGAAGGAACTATTAAAAAAGAAGCAGCAAAAGCAAGTCTATGAGCAGCAAATGCAAACCAGATTCTCACACCAAACGAACTGTTTACATGGGCTGAAAAAAACATTCAAGGTGTTAAGATATTTTACATTTCAAGTGATGATATCAATAACCATAAAACTTATTTTAACCTAAAGAAACAATATAAAGAGACGAATATAAAGAGAGATTTAAAATCTAAAAGAATGTTTGTGAGAATGCTGTTTGGACCTAATGATTTTTTTGGATTCAATTTAGATATAAGAGATGAAATTTCAGGAATGAAATTAGAGATAATAATAAATTATGTAAATTTAGATTGTTAAAACACTTAATGACAAGGAAAGATTTAAGTTTATGAGTAACATTTGTAAAAAAAGTGTTAAATGATTCAGAGATTAGAGTTGGGTCAGTTATATAAGTTTCATTTTCTTGCAAACAGATGGAGGATGATTTATTAAAATTTTTGGCATTTATTACATAGTTAATGTCTTTCCAAAAATTGTAAAAAAAAGTTTTTTTACCTTTTCTAAAAAAATATTTTAAATGGATTTTTTTACTAAGTTTAATTAATGTAATTATCATATATTTACATCTCTTAAAAATAGTTTTAAACTTGTTTATATTAATAAGATCTTAACATTTTTTGTTATAATAAGTTACTAGGATTCTACATCATAGCAGCTGGATGTCATTTGCATTTGTATTAGATGAACATTTTTAGCAATACTTCTTTAGCCTTTTCTTAATCAAAAGCTCCATGGCAGGTGGTATTATTTATTAGAGTTATTTAAGCTTTCCTAGTTTTTTCCTAAGAATGCCAAAAGAAATCATACAAGGCAGCATGACATTTTGCAAGTTGCACAGGATTACATATTATCAGTGGTAGGGTTGCCAGAGTGACCATGATGATGCTAATACTGATTTGACTTGAATTTATTGCAAAATATTATTGGATTTAAGGAAATTAAAAAGGCTACATATTATTGAAAAAAAGTATTGGAAAAAGTTGTTAGAAAATATACTGAAACAAATTACTGGACAAATTTATGGTACAAATTACTGAATTGAATATTATAAAAAATTACAACAAAGTAGTGAAACAAATAAAGTAAGTATTTCAAATTATTATTATTATAAATATTAATATAATATTTACTTGATTAAAATACAACAAGAAAAAAAACCTTTATAATAAGACTTGAATATTTTATTGAATCATTCAAAAGACTAGTAAGGTTCTCAATAGAAAAACCACTTTGTTCATCATCATTTTCTTCTAATAGCTCATCCTCATATTCGTCTGATGAAATATTTTTCAACCCATCTCCATAAAATTTTTTAACAAAAAACCTAAATGAAGGTGTATCACCAATTGTAGGATTTTCATCATTAGCAATGTAGTATTGCAAACCATTAAAATAATCATCCATAGATTGAATGAGTTTTAGGACTGATTCAGAATTATTTTTAACCTGTAAAAATATGGTTATATTTTATTAGTAAAATAAAAAAAATAACTTTAATTTTTTTTCTTTTTAAATATTTATTATAGAAATTTAATAAACAAATTTTTTTATTATTATTATTTACTTTTACTATTTAAAAATTTATCTTTAAATTGTAATAATTATAGAAAATTGTGGTCCCTCTTTGTAGCTGTCCTACCTTAAGACCCATTACAGCACACCCCATGCCTTATTTTCTGCTGTGACATATCTTTATTTAATCTTAAAACTTTACTGGCCCACAAAAAACTATTTATAAAATTTTTAAAATCAAAAATTATTTAACTAAATAAACATTGTTTAAATTTTTAAATTAACAGATTTAAATTTTGGATGACATTTTATATATATTTCTGCTTGTGGTTTATTAAAACTTTTGAAGCCCAAATACAAAATTTTTGTGACAAAGTCACCAATTGAAACTGAACATAACTTTTTTTATACAAAAAAGAAAGCACTTTCAAATTATTTTTTGAAACCCGGAAGAATTTTTTAACTTACTCGAACTGTCACCTTAAGAACCATATTAAATAGGTCTTCAGGTACGATATATATGTACAGTAAAATAACCAATTTTCAACACATATTTTTTTAAAAACCAATCAATCAAAAACACTAAAACAAGTAAAATGACACAATGTGTTTTAATGAAAGAAAAAATGAAAAAAAAAAGGTTAAGCAAAAGTTATTTACTAAACATAAGTAGTAAATGTGTACAAATAAAAAATTTGTTTTTGTTGGAATGTGTTTCTTTCATAAAATTTTAGATAATGGGGCCTTTATAATTGCACAAGGATTTTACGGAATCAATAGCTCCTAACTTGACACAGTCAACAATTTCAGCAGCACTAGTGATTGGTACTGAAATCATCTTTGGAATGATATAAATGTTGTGTGATGTTATGTTTTATGTCAACTTTGGCATGTTATGTTAGTAACTTTTTACCAACATAACATTGTAACAAGGCTGCAAGCAACAACAAACTTAAGAAAACAAAGAAGAGAGTTAAAGGGCAGGAAAGGTGAATAGAAGAGTTGAAAAATAAAAATTCTTTGAATCGGGAAGAAAATTTTCTAAAATTTTTGAAGAGGAAAAATTACTTTGAAAATTAAAAAGGTAAATTTACTTTGAGGACAGAAGAAAATTCCAAAGTAAAGTTCCAAAGTAGTTCAAGGAAAGAAACAAGATGTAAAAAAGTTTTTTGAGCATGATAAAGCAGTTAATATAAAAAAATGCAACTAAGCTCCGAGGCTAAAGTAGAAAAAGAAAACAGGTTGAACTGAAGTAAAAAGTTTATATTGCGAGGTTCAATGTTCAAATTACCTCTGAGGCAAATCTCCAGCTTCAAGCAAGTATTTACTTGTTTGAAGGTGGAGATTTGCCTCAGAGGTAATTTGAACTTGATATATGCAAATAAATGTGGACATTAAATACGTATTTAGGTAAAATTTTGCTGAGTTTTGAGTTCCGTGGTAATGCCTAAAATCACTACTAAATGTTCACATTTGTTTTCCTATATCAAGTTCTTAAATTAAAGGCTTATATTAGGAAAAAAAAACTTGAAATTAGCTAATTTATGGTGAAAGTAATTAGTAATTTTTAAATCAGACTTCATTGTTCAACATAATTGTATAGAATAATACTTTTACATTTTATGACACTTTCTTCTTCTTATTTTTTTCTCTTCTCTTACTTACATCATTAAAGTGTATAAAACAAAAAGTTTATAAATTATAGAATCGCCTACTATTAACAATAGGTTTATTGATTATTTATCCAAGTTTCATGATTTGTCGTACGCTTTTAAAAAAAAGGCAAAAAAATATTTTATAGCAAATACAATTAACTAGCTTCTATTGAACCTGTCTTGTCAAAAAATGTTGTCAAAACGAATTGCTGTTGATTCAGCATTTTAAACTTATTTTTCATTGTTCAAGATAATTGTATAAAATAATATTTAATATTTTATGTCATTTAAGTGTACAAAAAAAAGTTTAAAATAATAGACATGCTTCTGTTAATGATTTTATTGATGATTAATTCATTTATTTGTTGATTGCTCAACAAATAGTTATAGTTGCTAATCTTACCATTATGGTGCAGGTTGAGCAGCTCAGTAAGCCCATTAAATAATACCTTCTCAAACAAATCAAAAAAATTTTCAACATGTTTTTTCAAGTAATTTTTTAAGCAGGTTTAATTATTTTTATAATAGTAAAGAAAAAACCTGACGCACCCTTTATGAAGTCAGTTAGATTAAGTAAAAATTGCTCAACTAGCCCCACTCTACCCTTTGTGATATTAGATTTAACACAAGCGTAAAACGTTATAACCTTTTAATGCATTTATCAATTTACTTATTTTGTTATTAAACTAATTATGTATTTTTATCAAATTTTTATCAAAATTTAATTTACCCATTTCTTTAGTTTTAATTCTAATTCACTCCCAACAAGGCTGCAAGCAACCATTATTAGGTTGGTAGTTAATAGAAAACAAAGAATAGAGTAAAGGACAAGAAAACTGTTGAAAAAAGCTTGAAATTATATAAGTTCTAAGTATAAATCAGAAAAACAGAGATTTCCATAGGGTTAAAGTGCAGCAAAAAAAACTAGTTGAATAAAAATTTTTAGATCATGCAGTGATACATACAGTAAAAGAATGTGACATTGCTAAATGACAAGTCAAGCTAGAGTAAGTATTGGTTGATGGAAATAGAGATAACTCTTTTGAGCATGATATTATTTGTAGAAAATAGAAAGTGATGCAACCTTACTATTATGAGAAAGATTTGTTATTACCCCAAAAACCTGTTATTCCTCCTCTCTTGCATGGTTCAGATTTTGTTACCTCACTTAAAGGCGTAGCTGCATTGCTTGCAGCTACGCCTATCTACTACTACTACTACTACTACTACTACTACTACTACTACTACTACTACTACTACTACTACTACTACTACTACTACTACTACTACTACTACTACTACTACTACTACTACTACTATATATAGATTTTATTACCTCACTGATGCAACTGCTTGTGATTAAGATACATAATCTTGTAGAAGTCTTCTTTGGAGCTGTCGTTTATACTTTCAAAACTGTTTAACAAGCACTCTTTTTCATTTCCTGTAACTTCAGGGGTTCTTCAAGATTCTGTCTTTGGTCCTATACTCTTTTTAATTTACATTAATGATCTTCCAGATATTCTCACATCTAATGTGGCATTATTCATAGATGATACTACCATACATTCCTGCCTTGATAAAAAGCCAACACTCTCTAATTGCTTGGAGGGGACAATTGAACTTGAAAAGGATCTCACTTTTGCTACAGCATGGAGCTCTCAGTGGTTGTTGAACTTTAACTCAGATAAATTTTTTTTTACCTAATCGTTTTACCTAATGTACTCAATGAGTCATCTACCCTTTGTCTTCTAGGATTAACTATTATTTCTTGGAAACTATACACCAAATCCATTGTAAATTAACCTCTGCTAAGGTTACATCTCTTTATCTTGCTAGCCACATTCTTACACCAGATTCTATTCTTTATCTCTATAAATCTCTAATCCATACTTGTATGAAATACTGTTGCAATATCTGGAGCAGATCTTCGAATGATGCCCTTTCTCTTTTAGATAAGGTGCAAAAATGCATTGTAAACATACTTAGACTTGTTATTACAACCTTCAACCATTGTCACATCATCGTAATGTTGCATCACTTTGTTTTTCTATAAATGTATAGAACTAGCATCTTTTGTGCCATCTACTAAAATTCATTCATGCGTTACTTATCATTAAATTAAGTCACATCTAATTGAATGATAAGTAACACATGAATTAAACATGAATTATGACTGTTTATAAGAGCACTAAGAACTTTTATTTGTCTAGTTTCATTCCTTTAGCATCAGTTCTTTGGAACTCACTTCCTTCATATTATTTTTCTGATTCATATAATTTGAAAGCTTTTAAATCATTTGTTAATAATTATATTGCTCTATAAACTTCATGTTTTCTCATCCAGTAACTTCTAACTGTAATAGTGGTTGCTTGCAGCCTTGTTGAAAGTGAAGATGTTTAAAAAAAAGGCTAAACCTTGGCAGATAAAGCAGGCCAAACTACATTTTTTCGTACATGTTTTCGTACCTTGTCTAGAAAAGAAACAGCATTATTAAAAGAAACGTGCCAAATATGACAAAAGAATTATGTACAGCAATAAATAAGAGATTTGTAGGGAGGTAGAGAATGGAATCAGAAGTAAGATAATTGGGAGCACAACAAAGAGAAGGAACCTTAGCAGATGCTAACTTAGCAATCAATGGTACATATGAGGTAAGTAGAGAATAACTTTCCATTCATTACTGACAAAAATTACAAACATATAGAGTTTTATTGTTTACAAGCCACTGCAAGTCCCAATTGTTTACAGAAGTGAGATCAGACTCAAGATCTTTCTGTTCTAAGCAATCAAAAAGAAAAGACTTTTTGTCAAGACAAAAATATAAAATTGAGTCATCAGCAAATAGTCCGACTTTAGATGTAAGATTGTCAGGAAGATCATTATTGTAGATATGAAACAAAACAAGACCAAGGATAGAACCTTGAGATCAGATCCTTGGTCTAACCTTCTAACCCCAGAAATTATTGGAAATGAAAAAGTGTGTTAGCCTTTGAGGTGACGTTTAGAAAGAAATGATATGATGATCACAAAAACTTTTCCAGATACACCATATGAAGCAAGCTTATGGAGAAGACCCTCTTGCCAAACTTGCTGCCCCCATATATATGATGCACAATAAAGTTACAGCAGTAAGCAAATCAGCTGTAGAGCAAGAGGATCAAAAACTGTGTCTGGTCTGAATGTCTGACAGTAAGTTATTTGAACCAAGATGGGACGTTAGAATGTTCTTGATCAAAGACTGAAATACTTTGATAATATTAGAAAGAATACTGATAG